AAAAAAAAAAAAAAAAAAAAAAAAAAAAAAAATCCCACAGACTATGCCATCCAGCACTTCTCAAAGTGACAGAGACCAGCTCTGCTCTTAAAATAACCTGTGGTCAGTCCATACCGTAGATGCAGGAAGAACCCAACTGGTTCTTCCCCAAACCCTGTTGCTGGTCCTACCCACTGCCCGTCTAATACTTCAGTATAGAGGAGAATGAAGAGAGAAAAGTGACAATGACAGAGCCATTCTCTATAAAAATGGACACTTCTCAGATACTACAGAAGAGAATGATTTGTCCAAAACAAAGGCTATTCCCCCCACTCCTGTATTCCCTAAGTTTAATCACTAATGATACACCCCGACAATGTTTTCTTCCTTAAGAGGCAGCTATGAACCAAATATTCAAGAGTTTCCAGAAGAACTACCATAAAGTTTAGGCATACCCTGTGTCTTAAGTTTATCTCTGAGCAGGGAAAACAATTGAGGGCCAGAGCATCATATTTTGAGGACGGCTCATCAGGAAAATACTGTGTTGACTGTTGGCTCATTTAAACAGAATGGGTTGCCAACAGGAAGACTTAGCAAAATCCTCTGAAGCCAGAATACATACTTTTAACTTAAAGAGCTGTCATGATTTGTTTCCACTACTTCCATGATATCTAACTCCCAGGGACCATCATCTCATCCTCTGTGTCACAAAGCTATAATAAAGCATTCTAGATAAGGAAGCCCAAGAAATGGAATGCCAGCTGACCTCACAAACACAACCCTAGCCGATTCCTTTGTATCATAACACAATGACATAATTTTCTGGATTAGGATACAGAGAAGGAAGCGTTTATTACAGATGTGGTGTCTGTGAAACTGTTTGGGTTCTGACAAGTACTGCTGAACTTGGCCTCCTGATGCTTACTCAACCTCAATGAGACCATAAAGTTTGAGACACTAGACTCTAGCCTGTGTTCTACTGTGGAAGATTTACCAAGAAAGGTAAATTCATTCACTACAAAGAAGTTACAAGGTAACAGAATGGGAGCAATTTTGGTTCAACAGGAACCACATGGGGAGGCCAAATTAATAGTGAGCAGCTGTTTTTTGAGTACACAAAGAGCTCAAAAATAGAAAAGCTATGGAGAAAAATATAAGGTGGGAGCATGAGCGTTTTCTTCATACTACCTTTACACAGGTGGTGATATATATACATACATACATATATATATATTCATTCCAATGTTACCTAAGGTAAATGTAACCAGAAAAAATATTTATCAAATAAATAGTAATCGGGTTTACCACATGATCATATTACCCCTTGACACTGTAGGGAAGAAATCAATTAACTAACTTTAACTACAGTTTGTGTATTTCTTAAAAATGTTTATAAGACTGTGTACTCTGATACTATAAACGCTGTTACGTTTAGAACAAACATATGTTTGGCTCCATTTTAGACAATAGGAGGAAAAGAACAGGTTTTAGGGTATACACAGTGTGTCCCCATAAGAAAACAATAGAGATGTTCAGTACTAAATGTACAAGCAACGAAAGGGCCAAGAGTATACAAAATATTCTGAAAACCTAATTCCATATCACTCCTACTGTATGTCAAGGGCCCCTCCATCACATTCCACAGTGGGACACCAGCTATTTTTGTACTAAAACAACTTCCTGTCGCTCATATCCTGTTTGGTTATGTTTCCGTCACAGTGGAAAACAAAAGCCGGGGCAACAGGATGAATGAAGCAGAAAGAGGAGGTGACCTGAGTGGAGCCTGCCATTAAATTACACCTTTGCCTGCCCCCACTGTTCTAGTCCTTTCTCTGCAATCTGATGTAACTGTGGCCTGATCTCCCCATGGACCTTTCCCTGGTACTGGCCTCTTAACTTTCTCACCCCGACTAAACTCTCCCTCCTTGCCTAGCTGTGCAACTCGAGCCTCCCTCCCCCTCCCACACGCCCTCCCACCCCTATTCAATCTCACACTCTGGAATCCACTCCTTCTAAAATTAGGATGACCAGGTATCAATCAACCTCCTTCCTTTCTTAACAGGTACAAATGATCCCACCCCAGATACACTGGAGCGGGTTATAAATAGTCAAAACCACTCACACTCGGGGCCCTGGATGATGAAGGCGCTGAGAGCCGGGCACACTGGTGCCTGAGCCCCTCACACTGCTCTTCTGCCACCAAGCAGGCGGACAAGAGGCATCACCAACAGACACCTGCCCCACAAGTGAGATGGCAGCATGCTGGTGAATAACAGCACATCTTAAGTTTCTTTTTTTTTTCTCTTCGAAAAATTACCTTCTGCACTTTTTCTACCTTCTTAAATTAAAATGGTTTAAAAACACTTGAGAGCTGCGGGGGGCGGGGGGAAACAACAGTTAAGTCCCTTATAATGCTGCACTTTTTAGGTTCTGACCATGACCCACAGTAAGAAATACATTTACATCACAACCCAACACACACATACACAAACACACTCACTCTCTTTCTACATATATATATCAACATATGATATATGCATGATATACACATATATCTTAAATAATATCTATCATTATTAAAGGCAGTGCACTTTAATATGCTCTATTCAATTCTATCCATTTTTTTATTCTGGGTCACATAATGTTGAGCTAAAGAAGTCTGACACAAAGAGTCATATGTATGATTCCACTTTTCAGAAGGTCTAGAATAGTCAAAACTAATCTACAGTCATAGAGGTCAAAACAATGAGAATGTCAGCTGGGACAGAGGATACAAGACAGTCTGCTGAGGTGCTGGAAATGTTCTATATGTTGATATGGATGGGGGTTATGTGGGTGCACAAATGTGAAATCCATCAAGCTATACAATTAGGGCCTGAGCATTTTACTCTGTGTAAGTTCTACTTCAATAAAAAAAGAAGACAAAATTTAAAAGTAAATGAGAAATGGAGATTGAAACCAATTACTTTAATTTAATTTAATTAGACCAATTTAATTACTTTTTACCAACTAAAATAGCTTCAGCTAACTTGGTCATTACCCACCAGTTTGAAAAACATCTTCAAATATGTTTTATAAATATGTATATATATATTTTTTTTAAAAGAATAAATATATGTGATATATATCTCCTTAGGTCTTAGGATCAAGGAATTCTGAAGGCCAGGTAGTAGTAGGCAGTGAGAGAAGAAAGGAAGGCACAACTCCTGTATGTCTTCACAAGAAAAAAAACATTTCTAATTAATCAACATTAAGCTCAAATAATATGAGTCTCCTCCTAGGTATCCACTGTGTTCACCCAGTAAGTGCAGAAAGTTAACTTTTAAAATTCTAGATTGCACTACATATATTATCTGTTTCAACAGAGATTTTGCTTTGAGAAACCATGAACCCCAAAACATAACAAAAAAGCGAACCTCAATGCAAAATATGACACACAGAAGTTCATAACATGAAAGCACAAACACACAAGCTAAACTCTTCCCAGCCTAGAAGGAGGTTACAATGGTAGCACTAAAATTAGGTTTAATAGGCAGGTGCTAAAAAGATACTGTGGTAACAGTCAAGTGCTAAAGAAAAACAATGCTCTGAAGTCCTAGCCAGGGAGGGAGATTTTATATTTTAGAACAGCTATGTTGTCTTAAAGTAAAGGTCAATGTTGAATGCTAGTCTATTTATAATGGTATATAGATAAACCATGTTTTCTATTACAGTGTTTAAGATACGGGTGTGTAGCGTCTCTATTTCACTGTATTCACACACACACACACAAAAGAATAGAAAGGCAATAACAGAGTAAGAATATAAAGGGCCAAAGAAGACAAAGGATATTTCTCTCATTTAAAAAGAATTATTCAGAGATGCACACAAGGAGGCAAGTACAAGGATATTCATTGTAGCACTGTTTGTAACAGAAAAAATTGGAAATAATAGAACTGCTAAAATAAAATGCTTACACAGTGCAATAAAGGGTATGAATTAGATCTATATACCAACTTGGATGGATCTCAAAAACAAGGCTAATTTAAAAATAAAAGCAAGTACAAAATAATATGTTAGCATTTATATAATATGTTAAACATACAAAACACAGCCACATATTATTATGATAGATATACTGGTAAAGATATGAAAATCAAATGAAAGTATTTCCAGAAAACTCATAATAGTGGTTGTCTCTAGTTGGGGTGGTGGGGGAAGAAGGGAATGGAGTACAGATGATGTTTAAAAAAGAATTTCAAGTATAACTGATATTTTTATTTCTTTAAAAAATGTTGAAGCTGAAAAGACAACACAGTAACAGGTGTTGAATCTGGGTGGTGGGAATATGGCTGTTTTGATCTTCATGCTTTTCAGTAACTTTTTGAGTTTCTCAAGATGATAAAAAACAGGTATAACTTTTTTTTTTTTTTTTCATTCAGACTGACCCGGGAAAAATTCATATAACTCAGGCAACCCTCTTTGGTTCAGAAACAAGGTTATTACTTATCCATCCTTTTTGGAATTGTCTCTATTAACTTAAATAGGGGAAGCGTATGTGTGAACATAGTAAGTAACATGTTACTATGGAAACATTTACCTGTGCACCTTGGTTATTTCTTCAATACTTCTAATGTGGCATTAAATATTATGTGGGGAAAACAAAGAATAACAAAAAGAGAATATTTTGTAAGGCGCTTTCTGGAAAACAGACTCAAATCCGACTTAAGAAGTCAGCAATGTATTTCACCTCACCAAATACTGAAGTCAAAAAATAGCAGTAACTACAACATGAGTTTAATAATTTACTATAATGTATTTGTTAATCATTTCAATATCATTCTATGAAGAGCAGAAGATTTAAGATGATGTTACCTTGGCAAGTTCAGGCAGGTAGCTATCTAAACCGGAAACGGAACCTTCTATTTTGCTTTGTTCATCATCTAAAACAGCAAAACAAATTACCTAAGTCACTCATAGTTGAAAGTATTTTATTTAAAACAGGAGGAGGAAGGCCGTTTCTCTTATGTGCCCTTTAGCACAGTGGTTTTCAACTCTGGATACCCAACAGAAACACCTCAGAGCTTTTAAAAAATGCTGATGGGGCTTCCCTGGTGGCACAGGGGTTCAGAGTCTGCCTGCCGATGCAGGGGGCGCGGGTTCGTGCCCCGGTCCGGGAGGATCCCGCATGCTGCGGAGCAGCTGGGCCCGTGAGCCGTGGCCGCTGGACCTGCGCGTCTGGAGCCTGTGCTCCGCGGCGGGAGAGGCCACAACAGTGAGAGGCCCGCGTACCGCACTGGAGCAGCACAGACAGTGTCTAACCAGAACTGTCAAGAGCTATGGACAGCAGCACACATGGCCACACCCACCAGGCACCAGCCCAGGCCAACAAAACCAGAATCTCTGGTGGGACAAAGGAAAGAGTACTTGTTAAAAGTCTGCAGGGACTTCTAAGGCACAGCCAGAGTTGGGAATCACCTGTCCAAGGGCCTGAAATAAAACTTGAATTGTCAAGAACATAGCCAGATTTTCCCAACCAATTTAATCTGTGGCTTCTGCCCATCCTAACTTTGACTTGAAAATTCCAAAGGATATGATTAATGATAACAATAAAAACTATAATTAGTATTTGAAGTGCCAACTCTATGCCAGGTACTTGAAATACATTATCTTGTTTAATCTTCCCGTCGACCAGCAAGTTCTGTTTTTATTCCCATTTTACAAAAGAGTAATCCAAGGCTCTGAAAACGTAAGTGGCTCGCCCAAGGTCTCACAGCTGAAAAATAGTATTGCTGGGACTTGAACTCAGGTATTCCTTTACGCCTCCAAAGCTGTGATTCTTTTCATCATACAAATGATGTCAGGGTAGGACATTCTACTGTGACAAAATCTTTGCTGACAGGTTATCTGTAAGGAGCTCATGTCTGTTCCACCTCCATGTACCTCTGCAGTAATCTGGCTACTTCCTGTGCCCTCTGGCAAAACAGAAGACACCCACAGAGTGTGCATGCACCTGGGGAAAGCTATACCTGCCTACCTTCATGAGAGTCTCCGTTTCGCTTTTCTTGCATTGCAGCTTCAAAGTTGAGCTGGAGAATCTTGTTCAGAGTTGTGATCCACTCTTCCATTTCCACTTCACTGTCTGCTGCCAAAAGGTAACTACTTTTGTCCTGCATCTTGAGCTCAAAAGCAAAACGCCTGACTTTGTTGTTCTGAAACAGAAAAAGGGTAAAGAGACACACTTTAGAAGAACTGGAACAGCCTTAAAAATTCTTCTCTTTATTATCTGCTGATGGGTACTATCTCATCGGCATTTCGAACCAAGTTATTTAAAAAGGCAAGCCCCTTCCCAATAAACCCCCATCTGTATCCACCTTCCCTGAATTATTTTCTTCATGGCTTTATTTTCCCATCTGACACATTACACATTTTACATATTTATTTGTTGTCTGTCCCATCCAATGAAATGGAAGCTCTTCAGAGCAGAGATTTCTTTTGTTCAATGCTACATCCCGATTTCTAGAACACTGCTTGGCAAATAATAGTCTCTTGAAAAATATCTGAATGAATGAAATTTCACGGAAAATTTTCAGTTCCTCTAGCTCCTTTTTTAATGAGGTAGTATGTGCTATCACATTTTAAAAGCAAACCATTATCTATCAATATGTCTGATTTCCTTACCTGGAACTTTCTCATCATTTATGAGGCCCAAAAGGTATTTAGACACCATGTCTACCTTCCTCCAGCTTCCCTCATGCCTCCAGCTTTTATGCCTGTGAAAGGGTATCTTACTCAAAGTATAAAAACCGCAGTCCATGTGCATTAAATGACGAAGGATGAATGTGCACGAGGCCAGGGTTTCTCCACTTTGGCACTACTGACGCTTGGGGCCGATAACTGTTATGGGGACCGTCCTGTGCACTGTAGCCTGTTTAGAAGCAGCCTGGCCTTACTCCTTAGATGCCAGTAGCATAGCCCCCCAGTTGTGAAGATCAAAACATGTCTTCAGATATTATCAAACATCCCCTGGGGGGTAAAATCGCCCTGGTGACTGCACTAGATAGAAGTTCAGCTCCGAGGAACATGATACAAGACTCCTGGTACTTACAGGCTGAGGGACGTGACATCACAAACTCCCACCAATGTGCGGCGTCCGAGCAGAGCCCCTGCCCACTAAAATTCTAGCTGGTTAGCCGCAGTCCCTGAGGGGGCTCTCAGCGAATGTCTCGGGGACAGGGTGGCCCTCCCAAAGTCGCCTCTGTGACCTCTGCAGCATGGTTCTCAGGAGAGAACTGCTCCCAGCAGAGCATGCACACCACTGTGCACAAGGCCTCACACCTCACTTCACAGCAAGAGTCAGAGAAGGGGTCAAAGGCCAGATATGAAAGGCGTTCTCTCCCCTGCACTCCTCACCTACTCATTACTATGAAAATAAGTTAAAAGTAGGGTGAGCATCAGGCCTTGATTCTGAATTATTCCTCTTTCTGAGCCTCAGTTTCCTTATCTGCAAAATAAGTGTAATCAACTTCAAGGTTCTAAAATACTCTTAGGGCTCAAGATTCGTAACTGGATTCTTTTCAGGTCTATTTTTAAATTTTACTATAGGCATTTCTTTGAACTCACAGCACTTATCAACTAATTTTTTTACAATGTCCAAAAGCAATATTAAAAAAAAAAAAAAACCTGCAATACTTAAGCCACAACTTTTGGAGGTGAGCTTACAAACAGATATGGAGATAAAAACAAATTATTTAAACATGTTGAAGCCTTAGACACAATTCATTAAATGTAAAACACCATCAGCCACACCTGCAAAAAGAATATGAAGGAAGGGATGGCCACTGAAGTCAGAACTTTAGATTCCGAAATGTATTCGAGTCTGAGTGATCGGGGACTCCGTACTGTAAATCATCTATGCTCTGCTGAAGACAGGCAACAAAACTCTTATAAGACAAAAGTAATTACTGCTACTTTCCAAAGGAGGTTGCCAAATATATTTAGTTTTGCTTTAAACATTTTTTTAAAGTCAATGCCAGAGAAAACTCAACTAAAATGTAACTGAAAAGGTCTCTCAGCTTAAGAATACAAATGAAACTACCACTTGCGAATCCCACACAAGAAGTTACTTCACTGTCATGGACAATTCGCTCTGGTACTCCCTCCTTTATGCTGTGAATAAACATACTTTGATATAATTTGGTTTCCACAGTGGCAGCTTTCAGCTGAGTTTGGGTTATAAGCTGAGAGTGCCATGTGCCAATTAGCTATTGACGCAAAAGTAATTCTCAATGAATATTAAGTGGTGCTATCACCTTGATCTAGGGTTTGGTCCTGCACTAGAGGACCAAAAACAATGTTTTGGGTTTTTTTTTGTTTGTTTGTTTGTTTTTAAATTAGTCACCAGTAACTAAAAATACCAAGATTTAACTAAAATGTTGTATTTCTGGTTTTCTTGAACCAGATGAGCTGGCAGTGACACCCAGCACATCAGCTGCCCCTTTAAACGGGACCACTTGTGCTCCGGTTTGTCACAGTCCCCAGCATTTCCTATCACTTTACACCCAGTCCTCTTCTTTCACTTAATTTATCTGCTTGGCCCCTGTAGCCAGCTGAGTTTGGACCCCCCAACTTCCATGCTGACCACGATGAAGCAACAAGGTCTGGACTTATTCTCCCAACATAACTACTAGAAATAACTGGGCGAAATAGATGAAACAACTGTTTTTAGGTATTTTGCAACCATCAGGGCAGCCCTGTGATCCCTGATAGAAAGGAAACAGATGAGGTGAGCCCTACCATCACCTAATCACTTTCTGCCTGGAGGCCATATCTGGACCCAGGAAGGTGAGCCTGAACAGAGTCCAACAGTCTTGCTAACTGAGGAGGCTGCCCAGAGTTCAGAAGACCCAGGGGGCTAGAACATGCAGGACAGAGTCTCCAGAACAAGAACAGACTTCTCAGCACAAATAGATAATAGAGATCTAAACTTAGTAAAAACTCATTCATTACATGTCTATTTTCTCCTTATGTCATGCCTTAACAAAAAAGCTTACCAAAAAAATCAAAATCAAGACACAATAACCTAACTTTCAGGTCACCATAGATAAGAGATAAGGAGAAGACTGTGAAGAATAGGGAATAACATAAGACTCCAAAATAACACAAGCATCTAGAAGACAATGGAACGCCTTCAAATTCTAAGGTAAATTTCATCTAACTCTCAAAAAATTAAGATCTTACACATGATTTCCAGGAAGCTCCTGGAGGATGTGTTCCTCCAAAACAAGAAAGGAAAATGAGAAAGACGACGACATAGGATCCTGGAAACAAGGAATCTGACACAGGCAGGACAGCAAAGGGAATCTCCAGGATGGTGACTGTGCAGAGGCTGAGGAAGCAGTCGGTCCAGCTCAGAGCATGAAGGAGGGTTGCAGGAGCTAAAATCCTCTCTAGCATCACATAATGTCCACAACTGATGAATGAAGAGCAGTGAACACTCCTTATCTAGCAATATGGAGGCAAATGCCAAGAAAAAACACAGTGGAAAAAGTTGAAAATGACCATTTCAGGGAGGGGGGAGTAGGTGAAGTGAGGTGATGCTGGCAGGACTGTGACTTTAGTGCTACCTCTCTGTACTGTTTGACATTTAAACCAGATGAATGTATTATTTGGATGAAAATGCAATTTAATTTTAAGTAAACATGTGAATGCATAAGCAAGTATACCTGAGGGTCAAACCAGAGCTGTGTCTCTAACCTTAGTCACACTGGCCCCACAAGACAACCCTTCTTAGAGAACTGAGCTTTGGGCTAATGTCATCAGCGAACACTGAGTCATCTTAAGGAAGAATTCTCTGATAACGGTGACTGCGTCTATTGTGAGGAGCCGTCAAGAAGATTGTTCGTTAACCACACAGCGCCCTCTGTATGAGGGTCCCCAAGAGAAACGTCTGAACGGGCTTCATTCTGAGATTCCTCGGGCAGCTTCTGACTAATTGGACTGTTTGTAACTACAGACACTGTGCAACTGAACGGGTCTCCAAGCTAGAAAGCTGGTTTGTCACCTGCCATAGCGGGTGTTAGGTCTTTAAAATATATGCTTTTTCCTTAACTTAATCCCACTTCACCTCCTCCCTACCCTGCCTCCTTTCACACTACTTTAAATTTATATTAGCCTGTGTTTTATGTATCCTTGTAAATTGCTGCCTTAGATATTCCTGGAAAACCGGAGGGGAGTGGATGAGTGGATGGATGGACGAACAGACAGACTGGGGAAACTGCCAACCTGCTTTCAAAGGCAATTCTACAAAGGCACGGAAGGAGGCACACCAAACTGGTAATGGTAGCTCTTTGAGAAAGGGAGATACGGCGGTCAACAGGGACTTCTGCACTACCTGTATTGTCTAACATTTCATAATACAAATACATTCATGTATCATGTATAATTAAAATAATTTTTAAGACTAACTCTACAACTGTAACAGCACCATGATAACAAACCCTAACCCCAACCCTAATATTGGCGGAATGCTTACCATGTGCCAGCACTGTTCTAAGCTCTTTACGTGTATTGATTAATCCTTTCCATAACCATATTCAGTACTATCATTATCCCTATTTAACAAATGAGGAACCTGAGGCACAGAGAAGTTGAAAAATATCTCCAAGGTTATAGAGCTGTAAGTGGTAGAGCAGGGATCTGAACTCAGTCTGAATCTGAAGCCCAGTCTCTTGGCCAATATACTACTGTGCCATTGATACTATCATGATGAAAGTCATCCCAGAGATGCTAAGAACTGTTCTGAATATTTCCAAGTTAACTCATCCAATCCTCTTACCCTATTAAGGAAATATTATCATCATCTGAATTTTGCATGTGAAGAAACTTCAGTTAATAGCCAGTCCAAGGTCACACAGTTAAAAAGTAGCTGAGGACTTCCCTGGTGAAGCAGTGGTTAAGAATCCGCCTGCCAATGCAGGGGACACAGGTTCGAGCCTTGGTCTGGGAAGATCCCACATGCCGCGGAGCAATGAAGCCCGTGCACCACAACTACTAAGCCTGTGCTCTAGAGCCCGTGAGCCACAACTACTGAGCCTGTGTGCCACAACTACTGAAGCCCACGTGCCTAGAGCCTGTGCTCCACAACAAGAGAAGCCACTGCAATGAGAAGCCCGCGTACCACAACAAAGAGTAGCCCCCGCTCACCGCAACTAGAGAAAGCCCACGTGCAGCAATGAAGACCCAACACAGCCGAAAATAAACAAACAAATAAATAAATTTATATTTAAATTTAAAAAGTAGCTGAGCCAGGTTTTAAACATAAAAACTCATATGCTGAGCACTCGGGCCTCCTACGACATAATTCTGCGTTGTGTGTTGTACCCACTATCTTCTAAAATGATGAAAAACAAGCCTTTAACTCATTTTTAAGTCTGCTATTATACTTCTACCACGAATACTGCCATTTTTTGAAGTGTTTGCTTAAATCTGCTAATTCATAGATGGTACTTTTACAAAGGAGAAAACTCAACGAAAAAACTCGTTTCATATTTACCTGAACCACACCCATACAGGAATCCAGAAATATTGATCCTTTTGGTTCCTTGGAGATCTTTTCATCTTTATAAAAATTCAAATTGTAGGACCCATCACCAAGTTGAATCAAGTGGAAAAATCGTCTTTTAAACGACTGAGAGAAAAATACACACATAATTATGGTTTCAAGATGAAAACAGCCACAATCTCTCTCAATAACTCACAAGTACACCCTATGAAAAAACCATTTCAGTTCTCTCCAAAACAAATCTAATTCTGGCCAGCGCCCCAGGTAACTGGGTGAGTTAAGACTCTCCATCACATCTAATAATTTTACTGAATTTAAATTCTGTGGAGTTGGTTCACTAAGCATTCCTGGGTCATTTTTCTCACCCACAGAATCAGAGATTTTTACATAACCACCCAGAAGCGGTGCAGGGAATTCTAATTTGGGATGGAGCTCAGTCTAATTTGGGATGGAGCTCAGAAGGATGGAAACTTTCTCAAATCCCCAGGGTGTCTTGCTCACACAGAGTAGGAACTGTTCTCTGCCTCACGGAACTGGACGATTTTCCAGCCTCAGGATTACAACAATCAGCATTTCCCCTGATTTAACCTTTATCCCCTGTTCATCCTACCTCACTTCCATTGTTTCTCTTTATTATTAATTCTGGCCTTTCATTGGTCCTACTTCTCTCCTGAATAGTTTTTACACTAGTTTTACTTTTCTCTTGACAAACCCCTTCCAATTTAACCATTTTCCCTTTAGTCCTTGATTTTTGCTTTTCTTGACTTTACTGCAGGAAGACCTCCATGAAAGTGCTTAGGTGTAGCCCCTCGGTGATGTTCTACGAGGTACCAAGTATCCCTTTTGTAGTCAATATGGAGAAGAAAGGCTGTAAGGCGACCGCACCTTCACATCAGCCTTACGATGATCTCATCACGCTGGTGGTTGGAGGGTGACAAGGGGAGCCGGTGGAAATGGGGCTGTACCAGTGGGGGTCGATCACCGATCACCAGGGAGGCATCTCACTCACCAGACAATGTCACTTTTGTCAGAAAAAACAGCATGCCCATTCATCTTGAGCATCATTTCCAAGACCCACAGGAAAAAAAGGGCTTAGTAAGGGGAAAGCAGGGTGATGGGCCTCCTTACCCTCATGGTCACGCTTATTGCACTGTTCATGTTGCCTTTGTACAGCCATCCGTGCTTGGTGATCCCACCCTTCTGAGAGCCGAGGGAAGCAGCATCCTAGGAGACAAGGGCAACATCGCAATCAATCTCCCGTTATTACTGATGGGAAATCCATTCAATTCATACCAGGTTGCCCCTCGCCCCTCTATACCTGGAGTAACTGTCTGGCACTAACACCTACTGTGTCCACTTATCAATAAAAGAGGTGGAACAAGCCTAGCCCATTAACAAGCAAACGCTAGTCCATTAAAAAGCAAAGCTTGTTCTAGTCCAAGTTTTTTTTCCCCCCCAAGTATTTTAAGTGTTTAATGAGCCACAAAAAGTACATACCATACTTAACCACTCAAGTTGTAAGGTCTCGCCCGGTTTGATGAAAAATGTTTTCACATTACACTCCCATATAGTTGGAGGACAAAAGCAAATTCCTGGAAAACTTCCCAGATGCTTAGTTCAGGGAAAGGTGAATAAGAAAGGAAGGAAATATGAGGCAGGCAATAAAGAAAGCAGAGATAAGATGCTGGGGCAACAGAAATGAGGGAAAGAGAGA